CAGGCGGCACCGTTCACCACATTTCCTTTCCACAGCCAATGAGAAATCAGCAGGGGCAAGTTATTCAGGGAGGCTGGAAATCTCGTCTACCTGTGTGTTCCAGCCAGCCCTGTGACAGGGGGTTCGGCTCATGTAGCCCTGTGCGCCGCTGGTGTTACGTACATGATACACGTGGGGCCAGGTCAGGCTGTCATCTTCCCAATTCCCACCCTGAGAATTTTGTGTTCGGGGTGTTGGGATCCGGGGCTCTGATTGGGCCCTGCAGAATGACAAGGCCCAGTTGTGACAGGTGGATGCTGGCTGGAGCCTGGATTTCAAGCCCGGCCCTCCCAGCGTTCCTGGGCTGCTCGGATTGGAGACGATGGGTCTGCTCATGTGGCGGTCGCCATCCTGGCTGATCCACTGTGCCTGAGTGTTGGGTGTTGAACTGGGGACCGGCAGAGCTAAAACCCTAAGTGGCTACAGCTTCAGCTAAAGAGGCAGAATTTCTAGGGGGGCCTGTAACAGACTCAGCTTCTCCGCAGATTGGCCCAGAGGGCGACCTGTCATATCCACCCACCAGTGGGTACAGTCGCATGCACAGAGTGAAACTCACCGAGGCCCCACTTAGCTCCCTCTGGAGCTCTAGCCACACCCACAGTGCAGGAGGGGACTGGGGCCGCGTGGGCCTGAACTGCCAGTGTGGCTCGGCAGTCCCATTCCAAATCCCTCCATCCCCTAAAAGTTCAGGGGTGCCTGGATCGGGCCCAGCAAACACATGAATCGGGAAAGAGGTTTATCCTCCCCTCAGAATCCTGCTTCCCGTGCCCAGGCTCCCATGGCACCTGCTGGAGTTGGTGCCACACGGCCGCCTGGCAGGATAAGCCAGGCTCAGTGGGGCAGGGGAAGGTGCTGTACAAAGGCCACTCCCTTGGGTGGAGCTGCTCCTGAGGGGGGGGGCCTGGCTTCCTCGCTGGGGCTAGCGCCCAGAGCAAAGGGAGTGGGCCCTGAAGGAGCGCGTCACCTCAGGAGAGCAGCCCGCTGCAGCGCAGGGCAGAGGAGAGGAGAGGAGAGGAGCCTCCTCCTCACCCCGCACCGACGGAGGGTACAGGCAGACCAGGCCTCCATGCGGGAATACACCCCACCGGCCAGCCATACGTACTGGGCTTTGCCCAACCTGAGCAGCAGTGAGAACTGCCCAGCCCTGATCCCAGCTCTGCTGCTGGCCAGCACAGATGGCTGATGAAAACGGGAATGCAAACTCAGGCCAGGTTGCTCCTGGCACCAGGTTCTGCTTGAGGGATGTGATGAGCGTGTCCCCAGCTTTCCCTGCCCGGCTCCCTGTGGCCCCGGAAACAGCAACTGCACAGCAGAGTGTGGGAGAACCTCAGAGAGCCTTTCCCACAGCGGGGAGAGGGCGGCGAAGGTGGCAACAGGGCTTCACATTCCCAGCAGGGCTGCTAAATTCCAGGCGCCTGCTCAGAATCTCTAGGCCGGCTGAGAATTCAGCTGGAAGCTCCCTGCCCCACTCCCCACGGAGACAGCTCAGGGAATGAAAGGGCTTCTGTTTGGGGGATCCTCGGAGATGCCACTAAAGCCCATGCAGGGCTGGGCTCCATGCTGCACCTATGGGGGCCTGAGTTCAGAGAGGACTTTGGGGGAGATGGGGCAGGCTCTAGCCTGCCACCTGCAGGCCAGCAGCGGGGCACTGTGGTTCTCCAGGGATTCAGCAGGGCAGAGACTGAGGCAGACTGGCCCCTCCTAGATCACCAGGAGAGCTTTCCCCTCTGCAGCTGCTGCCACCCGGAGCAGCCTCCATCTAGCTCTCTGCCTCGGCTGTCGGGAAATCAGGCTGCAGCCTTAGTCTTTCTCCCCATCACCCCGCTGCCACCAGCCAGGAACAGGACTTGGCAATCCCCATAGCAAAGATGTTGGATTCGACACACTGCTAAGAGGACACAGCGGGCTGCCGGCGCCGACTCCTGGGCCCTGCTTTGATCACCTTCGAGATGAAACATTTTAGGGTCCAGTTTCTCACCCTGCTGTCTGAGACGGAGAGCCTAATCATATGGGGTTATTATAAAAACCCTTCGCGTTGCCCAAGCCCCATTCCTCTAAGACAGTCAAATGCTCCGCAGAGGTGAGCATAATTAGTCTCATTATACAGGCAGGGAAACTGAGGCACAAAGAGGCGCAGGCTAAAAGGTCCAAACGTCAGGTGCCGAACAGAAAGCGCTTGAATCTACATCGAGCCACTCAAATGAGCCGCCTGAATTTTAGCCCCCATGGCTCTCCCCAAAGTCTGGCCACTTATTTACGTGCCTCAGTGTGGACTGAAGGCCAGAAACCTTCACAAGGGCTCAGCCCCCCACAGCCAGTGGCAGATTTTCAAGAGAGCTCGATGTTGCTGAGCAGTTTGGAAAATCTGGCTCCAAGTGTGGGTGCTGAGCCCTGGAAAATGTGGCCCTCAGTGACTTGCAGCAAAGCAGGTTATACCGTGGCAGAGATGGAGTAAAACCCAGCCCCCCTAGTCCCCGGCTGTAACCACGAGCCCAGGGTATCTCCCGTATTTACGTTACATGGTGTCACATATTAATTGACAGGCTAGGCTCTGCAATCTGAAGCCTTTTAATCACGCAGCCAGCTTGCTGGCATTCTCCCAAGTCTCTGAGAGGCAGTGCCAGGGGGCCAGACACTCTAGTCCCTCGCATGATGGGACCTGCAATTTTTAAGCGCCAATAACTCCCCCAGACCGGCTTCGCCAATGGGGTGTTGGGCTCGGGAGGTTACAATACCCACACGTTTCCTCCAAACTGCTGTCAATGGCGCCACCACATGAGCAAAGTGGGCGAATGTCTGTACCAGGGAAATCCCCCGAGGCGAAGGGGCGAAGCAGCTAAAAAGGCAACGACACCTTGGGATGGGCAGGATAGAAATTGATCGGCACAGCAGGACTCCGACTGTCAGGGGAAAGACTGACCTCATCCAGAAACAGCCTGGTTCTCAGAGGTCCTGAGCCACCTGCTATGCCTGCGAGGGACCCAGCGACTATGACAATCAGGCCTAAAATGTCTTTACAACACCCCACAGGCTGCAATCCTCACCCCACTGCAAACAGCCGCCGCATCAGCACGCCCACGCTGCTAGCGACTGCCCTGGTTGGTAGGGTCCTTGCCCCAGGGATCCTGCACTCCTCTGATTCATGTAGCTAAGGCGTTATGAATAGTCTGACAATCCTATTAGAATAATGTTAGCGACCTAAGTGACCCAGGCGGCGGCTAGTGCAAAGCATGCATGGGCTAGCAGCACCCTCCCCGCACCCACTGAGAAGGGAAACTGTGTTCCTACAGCGGGCTGGGGAGCGTGGTCCTTATAGGGCTGGAGCCGAATGCACAGGTCCTGAAAAGAATTAAAAGATGGAACGGGTCGCTGCTGGGGCTTTACTTTGCCATCACAATAGCACTGGCTTGGCTGAGCCCTGCAGCCTCCTGTGCTTACAATCCACTGCCCTGGGGACACAAGGGCCAAAGCTGGCATCCCTCATCCAGCAATACTTGTTTGCAGACAGAACCAGGGCTGGCTACAAGATGCTTAGGGTGAGATGCTTCTACTGTAGGAGACACCGGAGGGTGAGTCATGCCGCAGGGTCCCCACCTAAAGATACATGTATCTTGCACTAGGCAGCTCCCTTGTATTTCCTGCTCACCGATGAAAAGCATCCATTCTGAATGGGATCCTGCACAGCCCTTCCCACCTGACTGCCAGCGAGAGACAGAGAGAGACACTGCAACAGGAGGGCTGAATGCCAACTCTGCCTCGGGCAAAAATGGACTGGGGAGAGGAGATGGCACCTTTCTCTAGCACCTTCCATCCAGAGCTCTCAAAGCACTTCACAACAGAGGGTCAGTATCATTATCTCCATCTCAGAGAGGGGGGAAACTGAGGCAGCGACCTGCCCGAGGAAATCAGTGGCAAAGTCTGGAATACAAGCCAGGGCTCCTGCCTCCTTCCTAAACCTGTTGTTCTAGGCACTAGGCAGGACTGCCCCCTGCACTGACCGGGTGCTCAGCACAACCCGCTGCTGTTTGCCAGCTACACAATGTGGTTTTTATGTTGAATACATTTCTCTGGCAGCCCTTCAGCTCTGTCCCTAAATTCAAAAGCTAAGCTCCTTCCCATCCTTGCTGCAGCACGGCTAAACCTGTTGTGAATACAGCTACAAAGTGTCTTTCCCAGGGAATGCCAAAGCCGACCTGTCTCATGCAGAGAAGGGCACCGTCCCCAGTGGAGGCACCCAGCTGCCCTTCCAAGCCCTCCCTTGTAGAGCATGGGGAAGTTCTCAAGAGGGCAGGTTAGTCCCAGTCCTCTCCACAACTGGGACGTAACCGGAGTGGAACCACTGGGACCATCCATGGTGCTAGAAGTCAACCCTGCAAAATCCTCTTTGAACTGAGCCCTGTTGGGTTCCCTGTGGCAACAGGGCTGGGCCAACGCTTGGAAAATTAACATCTTTGAACTGAACCACCTGGTGAAACTTTACTGTCCGTCTGAAACAAACAATTCCAACACTCTGCTGGTGGCCAACCCAAACTGAAAGCCCCCAAAGCCGTGGGTTATCACAGCTATTGAAATACTGGACAGAAAGCTCCAGGACAGTTGGCAGTAATTGTCCAGTATAAATACTCCATTATGCTCTCAAACAATCAGAATCTGCCCAGCAAACCAGCTCCTCTGATCCGTTGCAATCAAGAAGCAAAGCATGCAGAACAGCACAGTATAAACAGCATTATGCAGAGGGGCATAGGGAGGAGGGGGGAGTTGGCTCAGCAGGTCCTGAAATAATAGCTGCCTTTTTGTTTTGTTTCTAATTTGCGGTAGAAATTTTATATCAGCAAAGTGTGGCCCCAAATTCCGAGCCCAAGCAAGCTGCAGCTGATTCTGGGGTGGGGTGACAGGGTGTCTATCCTTGTGCCCCAAGGACAGCACTTGCACTTCAAAGCAAATGACAGTTCGGTACTTACAGGTAAGCCGTTAAGGGGCTCAGGCTGACAGGGACTTGGGAGAGTCCCAGCTCTGAACAATCCACTGAGAGCATTATGCCATCTTCTTCACAGTGGCACGGAGGCGGGCATGAGGGCGCAGCACCTGGGTCCGTGGATACCGCCTGGAGAGTGGCGGCGGAGGACAGAAAAGTGCACCAGAAGAAGAGCTTGTCCATCTTGGTCACAGCTGCAGCCCACATGAGCTGGGTGAGGGTGGCTGGCACTGGCTCAGTGGCTCTGATCTCAGCTGGCTGCTCGGACAGAGTCTGATTTCTCAGACCCAGCAGGCACTGGATCCCCTGCACTCCTGAGTGTAGAAAAGATGCAGCCAGTGAAGGGGAGGCATTGTTGAATGATCTTGGTTATTGGGTTTCACAGGCTGGGCAGGGCAGGGGCGTGAGAGCCTCAGAGAGGAGGAGCTAAAGGAACTTTCTGCTCTCTCCCTCTCTCTCCCGGAGAGCTGGCAGGAATTTCATTCAAAGAGAAGAAGAAGAAGAAGAAGAAAAAAAAATACCCCAACAAATAAAGACCTGTTTGTAGCTCCAGGACTCGTGCTTTGCTTTGCAATGTTTTTGTGGGATAGCAGCGCAGGGGAAAGGAAAGCCGACTCCTCCGGGAGAAAGTAATTTAAACAGGGGTTTGATCCTGCCCCATCCAGCACTTCAAACACTGAATGGTACCCCTGAACCATGCCTTTGGAGGCATGTGCACTGGGGCTGGCTCCCTAAACCCAACCGTCAGCTGGGAATTCAGGGGTTAACATTCGGGGGAGCTAGTCTGAATAAGCCATGCTGCTGCCACCCAAAAACTTCAGTGCTATCTACCTATCTTAGGTACTTCTATGGCTCCATCACCACAGCATGGGAGCACCTCTTTACCCGTCACACCCTATTGTACAGATGTGAAATTGAGGCACAGGGAGACTAATTAACTTGCCCAAGGGAGACTGTGGCAAAGCAGGCAACTGAATCCAGCTCTTCTGACTCCTAGACTAGTGCCCTAATCACTAGGCCATCCTGCCTCCGCTCCTTCTCTGAGCTCACAGTACCATGTTTCATGGCAGATGACATCTCTCCTTTGATCAAGGACTGTGCCTTATGGCGATAAACAGACAACACCTGGAGAGTGGAAGTGATAAGGTTATTCCTAAATGCAGTGTCAAATGCTACATGCTAAAGGTGCACAACGGGAAATCTCCCCCCCACACACACACACCCCGGAATCATAGAAACAAGTGTTGGACTCGTCTATCCACTGTGTTACTGAAGGAGAAACAGTTTGGCAAGGCAAACAAAAACTAGGTTTCACCTCCAAAAATTACAACCAGCCCTTCTCTAAACCCCTTCCTGCAAGGAGTCTGACAGACAGAGTGAAATCACCCTGGGGATCTCCTCTGGGAGTCAGTTTCTTTAGGGGGGTTCCACATTCCCTCTTTTGGGGACTGTAGTCTCAGGTTTAACTTCAGACTCTGACCTCTCCGAGGCTGCTCTGCTTTTCCCTGCTCGTTCCCTCCACTGCCCAGAAAGTCAGAGCAACTAAAATGCCTCCTGCGCATGGCTTCCAGCTCCAAACTGCCCACAGAGAGACCCAACACCTGCCAGACAGATGCTAGGATGACCCTGGAGCGGGCAGCCCTTAGGCTGGAGGTGCAGGAGTGGAGAAAGAAGAATCCAGGCATGTGTCCCTGTGAACACAGCTGCAGGTCCCACATCACCAGCTGGGTGCGAACCTACGTCCTGTGGTCAGAGCGAGAACTGGGAGCCTGGGTTCCACTACCTGCTTTTCCACTAATTCCCTGTGTCCTTAGGTGACTCAATGCACCTGTCTGCATCCCTGTTACTCCCCGGGAAAAGAGCTAGGAGAATGAGGCGGTCTGTAAAGCATGAGAGGCTTAAGCAGCCGATGCTGCACTCGGAGGGCTGATTGCAGCTCAGGTAGATGTACTCGAACCAGCTTTAATCTCACTTGCTTGAGTCCTGGAGCAGTGAAGCCGCAGCGGCACTGGCTAGCCACCGAGTAATTACCCAGGGCTCCAGACAGGCTCATGCAACCTGTGTGACACAGCCCAGGCTCAATGGCTCCGCTGCTAGATGAAAGCTAGCTAGCTTGGGCTCGGCTACTCATGCTGCAATCAATCCCCATGATTGCAATATAGACATACCCTGAGTAGCTTACCCAAGAGAAAGTCAAGAGATGACTTGATCCCAGTCTATAAGTAGAGAAGATTTCTGTTATTAGCAGGCTCTTCAATCTAGCAGACTAGGGTAGAAGGAGATCCAATGGCTGGAAGTTGAAGCTAGACACATTCAGACAGGGAATATGGTTCACATGTTTAATGGGGAGGGCAATCAACCATTGGAACAACTTACCAAGGGGCATGGGGGATTCTCATTACCCCTGGAGTCAAGACTGGGTCTCTCTTTCTAAAACATCTGCTCGAGCTCAGCCACAAGCAGTGAGCAGGGTGAGGAGCCCCTGGCTGGGTTTGTCTGACCTGCGCTATGCAGGAGGTCTGATTGAATGATCACAATGGGCCCGGGTCCTCGGAGGTATTTAATTTAGATGGGAGTTAGGTGCCTAAAGAGCTGAGCCATTGGTCCCTTCTGGCCTTAAACTCTAAGGCCCCACTGAAGTCAAGGGGAGCTTTGCCACGGACTTCCATGGGCGCTGGATGTCACCCTCAAGATTTGCAAATTGATTTAATTGGAATAACACCACGTACATCACAGGGCATTTCTGAGGCTTCATTAATTAAACCTTTGCAAAGTGCTTTGACATCCCCAGCCACACAGGATTTAGATTAAAGGGAAAGGGCTATACAGGGAGCTGGGAGCCCTGCCATAATTAAAGGCTGAGCCAGACACACTTTCCTACAGCTTTGACTTGGACAATTGGTTTGGCTGGAAAATTGCCACATTTTCTCAGGCAACCAGTCTGGAGAAAGTGCCTCAAACCCATTGGGAGTGCCAGGCCAGTCACAACAACCCTGCCCCGAAAGGATGGGTTCACCTAAGGTGTCTCTGTCTCCCTCTAGCTCAAAAATGATTCATTACTGGCCCCTAAAACTTCTTGTCCAGTGAAACGTCCTTGGGGATCCAGCCGCCGGCTAGACTGGAAGAAAATAATTTGTGTTGAATGTGTGGGAAATGCTGTTTCACTGAAACATTTCCAGGAACGTGTCAGTTTCGACGAAATTTGTGCTGGAAACGTTTTTTTTCCCCCCCCTCCCCAAATGATTCGATTTGAAGGGGGAGGATTTAGTTTGGACTGTCTCATATTGTGTCAGCTTTTAATTTTTTTTTAAACTGTCAATTCATGTTAATATCATATTTCTATGGGTCTATGATACTTTATAGAGAGATAATATTTGATAGTATATCATAAGGTTTCAGCTGTATTAAAACATTTGGATGAGTTCATTTCAGTGTTTCCTCAGTAAATTTAGGAGGCAATTTGGAAATGAGATGGAAATTCCGTTTTCTGGCCAGTTTTAGTTAATGATTTCTGCTGTGCCTAGCTCTGGGCCCAATCCACTCCCGTTAACATAAACAGATGTTTTTTGCCATTGACTTTAGTGGAAGCAGGATCAGGCCCCCTGTATGTTTGTGTGTTGCCCTCTAGTGGCTGGCTGCAGCTTAAAGAGAGCGGAAGAGTGGCAGACGGCAAGCCAAGCTCTTCCCTTAGCTCAGCTGATAGGTGCCTATGGCTGTAGGGCTCCAGTCTCAACTCTTTGGGGTGTGTAGCTTATTAGAGAGAAAGAAATAGCCCCTTCACACTGAAGTTACAACCTCTACCCCTGACGTTTCAGTTGTGAGCCTGACACAATTCCCTAGGCAGTGTTGTTGTAGCTGTGTCAATCCCAGGATATGAGAGAGAGAAGGTGGGGGAGGTGATATCTTTTATAGGACCAACTTCTGTTGGTGAGAGAGACAAGTTTTCGAGCTGACACAGAGCTCTTCCTCAGGTCTGGGGAAAGTACTCAGTGTCATAGCTAAAAACAAGGTTGTTTTAACAGGCCACTTCACTTTGAATGGTCCCCCAGTATTTATTAACTACTTATGCTAAACAGATATATTGGGATTGGAAAAGGTGCAGAAAAAGGCAACAAAAAATGATTAGGAGTATGGAGCAGCTTCCATATGAAGAGCCATTAATAAGACTGGGACTTTTCAGCTTGGAAAAGAGACAACTAAGGGGGGATATGACAGAGGTCTATAAAATCATGGGTGGTGTGGAGAAAGTAAATAAGAAAGGGTTATTTACTCCTCATAAAACAAGAACTAGAATTAATGGGCAGCAGGTTTAAAACAAATAAAAGGAAGTATTTCTTCACACAACGTACCGTCAACCTGTGGAACTCTTTGCCCGAGGATGTTGTGAACGCCAATATTATGACAGGGGTCAAAAAAAATTTGATAAGTTCATGGAGGATAGGTCCATCAATGGCTATTAGCCAGGATGGGCAGGGATGCAAAACCATGCTCCGAAGTGTCCCTAGTCTCTGTTTGCCAGAAACTGGGAATGGGCGACTGGGGATGGATCACTTGCTGATTACCTGTTCTGTTCATTCCCTCTGAAGCACCTGGCATTGGAAGACAGGATACTGGGCTAAATGGACCATTGTTCTGACCCAGTATGGCCGTTCTTATGTTAACACCTCTCCTGTCATGGGAGGGGGGGAGAGGAGAGGAAGGCAGGGTTGTTAGAGGGTTACAGATTGTTGTAATAAGCCATAAATCCAGTGTCTCCATTCAGTGCATAATTTTTAGTTTCAGAGTGGTAGCTGTGTTAGTCTGTATCAGCAAAAACAACGAGGAGTCCTTGTGGCACCTTAGAGACTAATAAATCAATTAACAACAGGATACCAAGGGAGGAAAAATAACTTTTGAAGTGGTAAGAGCGTGGCCCATTACAGATAGTTGACAAGAAGGTGTGAGTAACAGTAGGGAGAAATTAGTATTGGGGAAATTAAGTTTAGGTTTTGTAATGACCCAACCACTCCGTCTTTATTCAGGCCTAATCTGATGGTATCCAGATTGCAAATTAATTCCAGTTCTGCAGCTTCACGTTGGAGTCTCTTTTTGAAGTTTTTTTGTTGAAGAATTGCCACTTTTAGGTCTGTTATTGAGTGACCAGGGAGGTTGAAGTGTTCTCCTACTGGTTTTTGAATGTTATGATTCCTGATGTCAGATTTGTGTCCATTTATTCTTTTGCGTAGAGACTGTCCGGTTTGGCCAATGTACATGGCAGAGGGGCATTGCTGGCACATGATGGCATATATCACATTGGTA